GTATGTCATGTTGCTAATCATTCACTTCGCAATTTTTATTCTAAAGCAATAATAGAGCATATTATTTAATAAAGATACAGATTTTAGAGCCAGATGTTCAAAACCCAAAATCGAGCTCCACCATTTAATCCTAAGTAAATTCAATAGGGGCTCTGTGTCTTAATTACTTATTAAATGCAGCTACCTATCTTGTAGTATTTTCAACAGCAATATTTAAGTTGACAAATTCAAAGTTGTTAGGATATCAGATGGCATATAGTATATGCCATTTAAGTACTCACCAATGCTGTTGTTATTGTTATTTTAACTATTAAGCATGTGCTATATGTGTTGGAATATAATAGTGACCAAAAGAAGCCTTCCCTTGTTCATGTGTGTTTCCCAGGATCTGGATAAAAAACAGGTGTTCTAGGTAGGGGAGGAGTAGCCAAGACCCCTTCTAAAGTAGTAGAGACAATCTTATTGGTAAATGAATAAGGCAGGCTATAATCCTGAACAGCTTTAAACTCCAGCTTGCAGCATCTGTCATTTGTACAAAATGTCCTGTGAAGTCTTGCTAAATCCTAGGATTACCTAGTGGGATCAAGTTGAAATATCCATAAGCTATTTGAATTATATAATGTCAGGGATTAGGGTAGTTCCTTGCTAGAGTCACAGGCTATGGGCAGGAGCTTGATGTCTACAGACTTTTAAAGCAATTCTGGAGAAGTACTCAATTCTTTGTGTCCCTTGACTTGAACAAACAAAAAGGAAAACAGAGAAAGGCTGGTATCCTGTTAGAAACAGTAAACTCCACTACACAGGCAAGTTATGATCTAGATATCTGTTTGGGTTGTATTACTGTGAAGACATTCAGACCATGTCAGAAGCCCAGTATCAACAGTACCAGAGAAACCCAGGACTCAGGAATGATTTGTTGTCTTGCTATGTTCAGAAGACCTCAGTAACTTTCTGTGTGTTATCCCTGAGTGAGGCAAGTTCAAATAAGACAGAGTACTGAACACAATCTAAATGAGCAAACAACACTAAATGCTGTTAGTGGCATCATAATTAAGTGCTAGGTGAGTGGCACTTAAGAGGCTTCATAGTGTTAGGATTTGGAAAGGGGAGCCACAACAGCTAGAATGCTTAATCAGAGGTTTCCTTGGGGAAGAATATGTGTCTTTGACCCTGAAGGTTAAAAGGATAAAAATAAACGTGCCACAGTTTCTTTATACATTCTTTGGTTGAGGAGCATTTGTGTTGTTTCCAGTTTCTTGCTATTGTGAATAAAGCTACTATGAACATGGCTGTCTGGGTGGGGGCTCCCCAAGAATAGGAATAGGGGAGAGGGGAAGTGGGAGGGACAATGAGATTGAGAGGGAAGGAGGAAGGGGCCTATGACTGAGATATAAATTGTATTAATTTTAAAAAGTCTAAACTCTTGGATACTGAGCTGCCATTGGCTACCTCTGAGCAGGGGTTCTAGGTTATCTCCACGAGTGGTCCTTGGTTGGAATATCAGTCTTAGAAAAGATTCCTCTACCCAGATTTTTTTCCCTCTCCTTGTGGAGCTCCTGCCCCCTCCAGATCTTTCTATCTCCCCCTTCTTTCATATGGAAGGGAAATAGGACCACCCCTATCAGTGGACTGGGGGAGGGTAGAGAAGAGGGAGGGAGGGTGGAGGGGACAAGGGAGGGGGCTACAGTTGGGATACAAAATGAATAAACCGTAAAACAAACAAACAAACAAACAACAACAAAAAACTCCCCCTGAGGGGGGACCAGCCTTGCCAGGCCACAGAGGAAGAGAGTACAGCCAATCCTGATAAGCTAGGATCAGATAGAAGGGGAGGAGAGCCTCCCCTATCAGTGGCCTTGAATAGGGACATGTGAGGAGATAAGGAAGGAAAGGTGGGGTTGGGAGAGAAGGAGGGAGAGAGCTACAGCTGGGATACAAAATGAATAAACAGTCATTAATATTTAAATATATATATATATATATAAATATATAAAATTTAAGCATTGAAAAAAATTTAAAATCTAAAAAAATAAAAATAAAACAACAATGAAAGGATTGAAATAAGAATGTAGGTTGGGGAGAAAAGAATATATTATTGTGAGCCAAGTAGATCTGTGATTTGTATGAGTGGATTAGTAAGTAGTATCCTACCTGAAATATTTGCCAAGTGTCTAAAGCCAGTGGCCATGTAAATTAAAAATATTAGAATTTGTCTTTTCTCTGACCCATAGTGCTTAACTCTTCATATTTAGGCAGTTTAAGCTGCAAGAGGCAGCAGAATTTTGAGGTTTATCAAACTGTGAGGTTTATCAAAAGGATTTTAAAGGAGCACAAAATCTTAAGGCTACATTTACTGGACAAGGATGGCCTTATAACATGGGAACTGTTTAAGTTGGAGTTTTACAGCTATTTGATAAGGTTTACTTTTCGAATTTTACAGTTGCTTGCCCAAATCATGCAATTAATTAATTAATGTATTAAACATCTAGAATTTAACTGTTTATATTTTATTCATATTCTTTTCACTATCAGGTTTTGTTTATGCCTTTTGCTGCCAATTGTGATTAGATAATTTCTAATCATTTCTATCATATGCTTATATTTAGTTTATCATTAATCTGATGTCTGGAAAATCATATTGAACCCTCTATTAACCACAAAGAGAAAAGTTTAATAACATATCACTCTAATCCCTGTTCTTTTGCTTAAAAAAATAGGATGTTTCCTTGTCCCTTTGTCATATATAAATATCTAAATAAACAATAGGATATTCATATTGATGCTGACAATGGATTCTTATGATCATACACATAGTTCCAATTTTAGGAAATTTCCAAAGGCATTTAAGATTGAAAGTGATCATGAGGCACTAGTTTGGTTGCAGGGAGAAGGAACATTTAGACGAATGTTAGGAATCCGGAAATAGAGAAATTGTTAATATTTTAACTTGGTAGGTAGCCGCACTTGAGGTGTGCTGTCCAGATCTGCCTTTCCAGGTCTGTATATGCTATATTATCAACTGTAAGGGAGAATTCAAACCTTACATCCATATGCTTTCCTATTACCCCCTATATTTTGTCTAGTCAGATTAGCATGACAGTGCTCAGTTTTTGAGCATGTATCTCACAAATCGCTCCTGAAATTTTGAAATCAGTTAATGGGAGGCCTCTATTTCTTGGGCCAGGACTGAGCTTGTACACTGTGGACACGAACAAAAGAAACAAGTCTAAAAAGTGCCAGCATTCTCTGTTCAATTGATCTCTTTCTCTCCTGGGAGTTAAGTGTTACAAGTACCCAAAAGATCTGTTTGAGCTTAGTGGCAGGTGTACCCAATGGATTAGAAGCCATATTTATTCTAAGTTTATTTGTATAATAATGACAGCAGTAAAAAGAACTATGTAGTGGTTATTGTTTGCAAAACAGGTAAACAGCACCTGTATTTCCATGCCTGAGGATTTGAGATTGACAAAAATATGTTGAGAATCATTCAAAACCAGGTTTACAAGAACTAGCATATATTTCCTCCCATGTGGCATCCCTCATATCTAATCAAAATACAATTGGTTAGGCTCCAGACAGATACACCACTGTGTAAGTAGACACATTTTGACCAATAGAACAGTATTGTAGCATGCCGGCTCCATGGCTGGGTATGTCCATTAGTTAATTTACTATTGTGATGTTTAGATTTTTTTTCAAATGACACAGTCTAGAATCATCTGGGAAGAGGGAACTTCAGTGGGCAATGCAACGGGCAAACCACTGTACTGTGCACAGTGCTTGGACTGTACAAGAAAAGTAGGTGAACAAGCGATGAGAAGCAAGCCAGTAATTAGCGTGCTTTCATGTTCTCTGCTTTAGTTTCTGCCTTTAGGTTTCTGCCTTGAGCTCCTACCCTGACTTTCCTTGATGATATAAGCCAAATAAACCCTTTGCTCTCTAGGCTGCTTTTGGTGATGGTGGTCATCACAGCAGTAGAAAGCAAAGTAAAACATGTTCCTTTCTGTTTCTGACTCACTTTTATTTTTTCTTATCTATACTCTTGAATTTGCTATCTATAATTGTCATGTTTCTTAAAACTTTGTTATTTGTATATGCCTCTAGAAATATATGGCATTTAATATGCTGATTGTAGAAAGTACAAATTAGATTAAAATATATAGAAAGGAAATAAAATAAATAATGAACATGAGATTTAAGATGAAAGTGTTTGGGGGCTAATAGCTTTGGACAGGGTAGCTGGTTCACCAATACTTAATACACCATTTAAAATGCAAGTGAGTAAGTAGAGAAATAACAGCACTATGCATAGACTTATAGTGAGTATCTCATAAACTAGAATTAGGATTTATCTAATTCTATGTACATGAGTAAAACAGTAAAAGATAGAGAACAAAGTATTTACACACATGTATAATTTTGCTTTGCTAATATAAGATTGTAAACTTCATCTGTGTTGATACATGTACCTTCTTTACTCTCTTTTCCCCACACTTTCCGTCAGACTAGCTCTTGTCAAAAATCCCAAGTATTCAATAAAGCATTAGATTCATTATAGTTAACTCTTCCTGCCCAACCATATATGACCTTTTAGTAACTCTCACCACTGAACTTTCATCTAAATTTTTTTCAGCACATTCCTGAAAGCTCATTTTAGGCTTCTGGTAGTCATCCCAATTTTTTGGAAGATAAAAATTCCCTTGCTGGTAGTGCTTTTGTTGCATATTGCTTTCTATTGCTCATAAACAATTTGCATTCCAGTGACTAATACCGAGGTTTCAAACTATCTTTGGATGTGGGAAATCTCTTAGAGAACCTACTGAACCAACTTGTCAGTGCTCAACTGGTCATCTCAGTGTATATAGTGAGACCATAAAGTCCTCTTTTATATTCCAGAACAACGACAGGGCTTGTGCCCTGTTGTTGTGACCATGCACCACCTCTCCTGGCATCCACTCTGCCTGTACTTCGACAAAATAACCTCTTTTTTTCCCACCTAGGACCTAATTCGGAGAGACATCCTATACTACAAAGGGCGCATTGACATGGATAAATATGAGGTCATTGACATTGAAGATGGCAGAGATGATGACTTTAATGTCAGCATGAAAAATGCTTTCAAGCTTCATAACAAGGAAACAGAAGAAGTGCATCTGTTCTTTGCCAAAAAACTGGAGGAGAAAATACGTTGGCTTAGAGCTTTCAGAGAAGAGAGGAAAATGGTACAGGAAGATGAAAAAATTGGTAAGTAACCTGAGAGTAGAAAGAAAACTATAATTGTAAAGAACCTTCCATAGAGGGTTACACTTGATTTCATCTTTTTGGAATCAAATGAAAGATTTTTGTTACAAACTGACCTAAGTCACTATGGTGGTTCCTTACTATAGGTTTTTGTTTGCAAAGACCAATAGGTATGAGTTACAGATTATTCATACACAATACCTACTACCAGATAAGAATATTGTACCAAAAGCCAGTTCGAAGCTTGATTGTCCTCCTTCCTCCATATATACCTGTATTAGCAAACAAACACAAAAAGATCCATACATACTATTCTGTAATCTCCATAAATTCACAGATCTCCCTGTCTCTAGGTATATGAGGGTATGTTTTATGAAATGATTTCTCAATGCAGACAAGATTATATTGAAAAGATGGATAGTTTTACTTGGTTGTGTTGATGGAAATAAAAACCAGGGCCTTGCTCATGCTAGCCAAATGCTCTACTAATGAGTTACATCTTCAACTTTCAGCCAGCTCTGAAGGCAGAAAGTAGGAACAAAATTGTGAGGAGGACCAAGGCAACGAATGGGTCTGTTTTTATTCACAATCTCAGGTTCTTTTTGTGTTATGGGTACATTTCATTCTTATACTGAGTTCTGAGGAAGCCAAATTATAGGTGCACATCTTGACTTACATTCATTATACCAATGAAAACTGATCAAAGTTAAGCTATGTGGGCCTCCTCCATTCAGGTGGTAGTATTAGTCCCTGAGGCAAAGGCATCTGAGTATTTAATTCTTGATAAAGTTACTTCAGATACTAAATTAAAATTAAAAATCTGTGTACTTAGTCATCATATTCTAGAACTGTTTAAAATAAGTCATAGAAAAATATAACATTATCTAAAACTGTGACCACTCATTTCATTTAGATTCAGAATAAAACATCCATTTTGGATTGAGACAATTTATGTAGCTATGGTTTTATAGCTATATATTTGTTGCTTTTTAATTACTTCCTCGAGTTCCTATTTCTATAATAAAAAATAGCAGTCAGGCATGATGTTTCATACCTGTAATTGCAACACTCAGAAGGTGGAGGCAGGATGAGTCCAAGTTCAAGGCCAGTGTGGACAGCATTATAAGTTCCAAGCCATAAAATGGGAGTCCATTTCTTTTAATGAAGGGCCAGGATTGTAGCTCAAAAATAGAGCGCTTGCCTAGGTCCTCTGTTCAATCCCTAACACTGAGGAGGAGACAGCAAATGAAATAAATCAAACTTTCTAATTACTGGAAAACTTTTCTGTTTTGCTCCAGAGAATTGTACCTTTAAATGCCTATATGTTTGAGGTTGCAAAAAATATGCTTACTTATTGAGTTCTGGAACAAAAGGGTTTTTATGTCATACCATGCTAGGTAATGGTATGGACCCGGAGTGAAAGGTGGATGGCCAGCAAGACGTAATAAACTTTGTCTTCCTGTATCTCAAAGTCCACATTGATTTAAAAGTTCTGTAGGTCCATTTGGTTTAAGACCTCTGTAAGTGTCATTATATCTCTGTTTTGCTTCTGTCTCAATGATCTGTCCCTTGGTGAGAGTGGGGTGTTGAAGTCTCCCACTATTAAGGTGTTGGGATCGATGTGTGATTTAAGCTTTAATAATGTTTCTTTAACAAATGCAGGAGCCCTTGTGTTTGGTGCATAGATGTTCAGGATTGTGATGCCTTGCTGGTGGATTTTTTTCTTTGATGAGAATGAAGTGTCCCTCTCCGTCTCTTTTCATTAATTTTGGTTGAAACTCAAGGGATGACCCATGCTGGAGAGGATGTGCAGAAATGGGAACCCTCCTCCATTGCTGGTGGGAGTGTAACCTTGTACAACCACTTTGGAAATCATTACGACCACTTTGGAAATTAATCTGGCACTTTCTCAGAAAATTAGGGATAGTGCTATCTCAAGATCCAGCTATACCACTCCTGGGCATATATCCAAAAGATGCACAACCATACAACAAGGACATTTGTTCAACTATGTTCATTTATTCATAATAATCATAATAATTTGTTATGAATAAAGCAGCTTTATTCAAAATAGCCAGAATCTGGAAACAACCTAGATGTCCCTCAACTGAAGAATGGATATAGAAATTGTGGTACAATGAACTACTACTTAACAATTAAAAACAAGGAAATCAGGAAACTTGCAGGCAAATGAATGGAACTAGAAAAGGTCATTGTGAGTGAGGTAACCCAGAAGCAGAAAGACACACATGGTATATACTCACTTATAAGTGGATATTAGCCATATAATAAACATAACTAAAATCTATAGTCCTAAAGAAGCTAAACAACAAGAAGGACCCTAATTAATCCTCATTCAGAAGGGCAAATGGGATAGACATTGGAAGTAGGAGAAGAGAGGGAACAGAACAGGATCCTTCCACAGGAGTCCCCCGAAAGACTACCCATCAAGGTATCAAAGCAGATGCTGTGACTCACAGCCAAACTTTGGAGGAGTGCAGGCAATCTTATGGAAGAAGGAGGAGATAGAAAGACCTAGAGGGGACAGGAGCTCCACAAGGAGATCAACCAAGCCAAAAAAAAAAAAAAAAATCTAGGTTCAGGAGTCCTGCAGAGACTGGTGAATCAACTAAGGATGATGCGTGGAGAGGCTGTAGACCCCCTGCTCAGATGTAGCCCATGGGCAGCTCAGTCTCTATGCAGTTTCTCTAATAAGGGGAGCAGGGGCTGTCTCTGATATGAACTCAGTGACCAGCTCCTCCTGGAAAGTGGCCTAACGAGGATCCTAACAGAAAGAGGATCCAGCCAGTCCTGATGAGACCTGATAGGCTAGGGTCAGATAGAAAAGGAGGAGGACAAACCCTATCAGTGGACTAGGGGAGGGACATAGAGCAGGAAGGGGGAGGAAGGATGGGACCAGGAGATGAGGGAGAGGTCTACAGCCAGGATGCAAAGTGAATAAATTATAATAAATAATAATAATAAAGAAAATTTTTAAAATAAAAAAATAAAAAGTCCACTTTTAAAATGAACTTAGAGTCTTATTAGAGCCAAGTTTCTTTTAAAGTACAAGCACTTCATTGAGACATGATGTAGAATGGTATGGAGATATTAACTGTTAGAGCTATCAGTGGATATCACAGACCTTGCGTTAATTAAAAATCCCTGCCATTCTCTCTCCCTTTACCACCATATCTCCCATATGATGCCCAATGATTTTGTAACGTCAAGAGGTCTGCTTCTAATGCAAAGCTTCCATAAATTATTTTCTGACAGGCTTATGTCATTTTTGTTTTGTTTTGTAAATACAAATTTATGTGACTTTTCCCCTAGTATGATTACACTAAATTAGAAAATATTGAGGAAAGAAAACAAAACCACAAAAAAATGAATCACCACACATAATAAGAATGTTTATAAATGTTTTGACATATTTCTTTTTAGCCTTTCCTTCTATGTATTTAAATAAAACTATGAGAGTTCCTATTTCTCTTTCTCTCATATCCGTCTCTACATTGTAAATAAACACATTTTACTCCCATTTTTCATATTACCTATTAGCATTTCTACCAATCATTAAATATCTTTAAAACTGCCATACATATTTGACATAATTTTATTGCTTTTACATGTATTATTTAATTATAAATCTTGGCCAGGATAAGTATATAAATCATAGTAGAAATATGTAAAGCATTCTTTTCTATTTCCTCATTCATTTTAGGAATATTTTAATCAATATTGAATAAAAACTAGTAGTTTTCATCCAGACTAAGTCACTTTTATCAGAAAATTGAATAATCTCATGAGAAATTCCATAGCTAAAACCTGTATGATTTTTAATAAATGAATAAAGAAATGTTTATTTGATAGTGTTGCACTTTGTTTTTTATATATTTAATTTTATTTTTTAATTCTTTTTACAATTTATTCACTTTATATCCCGATTGTATCCCCCTTCCTCATCTCCCAGTCCCACCCTTTCTTCCTCTTTTCCCTCTATTACCCTTCCCTCGTCCACTGAAAGGGGGAGTCCTCCTCCTGTACTGTCTGACCCTAGCCTATCAAGTCTCATCAGGACTGCCTGGATCCTCTTTCTCTGTGGCCTGGCTGCACCACCAGGGGGAAGTTATCAAAGAGCAGGCAACAGAGTTCATGTCAGAAACAACTCCTCCTCCGCTTATTAGGGAATCCACATGGAGACTGAGCTGCCTAATGAGCTGCATCTGAGCAAGGGGTCTAGGTCTTCTCCAAGTATGGTTCTTGGTTGGGGAATCAGTCTCAGCAGGCCACCTAGGCCCAGATATTTTTTACTTTGTTGGCCTCTTTATAGAGCTCCTGTCCCCCTCCGGTTTCTTCTGTCCCCTCTCCCCTTTTTCCATAAGATTCCCTGCACTCTATCCAAAGTTTGGCTGTTAGTCTAAGCATCTGTTTTGATCCCCTGCTTGGTGGAGTCTTTCAGAGGACATCTATGATAGGCTCCCTTCCTATTCCTTCTCTTCTTTGCTTCAGGTGTCTTGTATGAGGGAAAAAAAAAAGTTCCTAATAATGTCTTCTTTTTATAATAAGTTTAATACTAGAGTGTTATAATTTGAATACTTATTTAATATAATTTAGTATATACTTTAAATGTACTAAAAAGAAGACAGTATTAGGAACTTTTTTCTTTTCTCTTACAATACATCCCAACCACAGTTTCCCCTCCCTCTACTCCTCCCAGTTTAAGTGCTACTTCTACTCTTAACCCAAAATCCATTCCGCCTCCATTTCCCTTTAGAAAAGAGTGGGCCATCCAGGAATATCAATTGAAGATGGTATATCAGGTTGCAATAAGACTAGGCATAAACACTCATATCAAGGCTGGACGAAGCAAACCAGTTGGAAGAAAAGGGTCCCAAGAGCAGGCAAAAGAGTCAGACACATCAACACTCCAACAATTAGGAGTCCCACAAACAAGAAGCTACACAACCATTACATGGTTCAGTGGGAGAATCCTCGCCCTC